GCCGTAGCAGGGAAGACCTGCGTACATCATCAGCAGACACGTAAGCTCCTTTCTTTCTCGAATCTTTTTAAGCTTTAGAGGTAGTCCAAAGCTTTATTCGGCTGTATTTTAAAGGTGTGGAACGGGTATTACAGGGTATTACAAGGTATTACACAGTATTACACAGTATTACAAAGTATTACACAGTATTACGTGGTATTACACAGTATTACTCTGTATTACACGGTATTACGCGGGTATTACACGGTATTACTGGCATCTTGTACAGGGTATTACGCAAGGTAAAACCCCCTCGGTTCTGCACAGCTCGTGTCCAGCCTCTCTTTCTCTCTCTCATAGAGAAGCAGCGGGACCGGAGGAAATAGAAAGGGGGAAGGGGGGATGACCGCGAAATTCGTCGTCGTAGCGGCCTCCACCGGACCGGACCTTGAACTCCGCGGTCTGGCGAGCCGCCGCGGCGCTTCGTGCCGCGCACCACCCGGCCCCCCGGGCCGCGGCCCGCCCGCCCACCTCTCCGCGGGGGAACCTCCGGCGGACGCCCAGCCTCCACCCCCCCCCCCAATCCCCTTCTCCGCTCCGAGACCGTCCCCGCGGTTATTCCCCGGACCGACCCGACGACTGTTTATATTCGACGGTAATGATGGAAATAATAACGAGACCTTATCTGTCGCATGGACTTGGCCGACAGTTTTGCACGCCTGCTAAACAACAACGTCTAATAATCCGCCTTCGTCGTGTCGTATTGCCTTTCGAACAATAAGTCGGGGTGAGGGGTGGGGCGCGGCGGAGCCCGGCGACGCAGTGACACCGGGGACCCGCCGCGGACACAGCTCCCATTGCCTCCCGCTCGACCCGACGAGCCCGCCAGGCCGGATGTTGGGTCATTCTCCGAATACATTGCGCTCGCGATGACGAAAAGGTAGCAGCAGCAGCAGTCGAAGCTCGCCCCGTCGCGGCTCACCGACTGCTTGGCTGACGGAGCGAGCGCGACCAGAAGTAGTGCTGCGGACCCAAGTCCAAGTAGTAGTGTGACACAGTGTTGTGACAGCCGTGTGTCACAAGGTCGCACTTACTTTGCCGAACGCATTGTGCCCGTCACGACGGGGTGGCGCGATCACGGCAGCACGGC